ACTGTGCTACTTCTCCTCCAGTAACAATACAAATTTAACAGAGCTGGCACGTTCCCTACAGAGTAAGTCCTCCCTCCGCAGCCACGCTGTTACAGAGTCACTTCTGCTGCAGCAGCAATGCCATTACAAGCTCTACGTCTGCAGCAGGAAGCGGACAAGATAAAGTCTGGCTTCTCCGTTCCCAAACAATGGGTGGAAAACCGGGCACGTCCCTGCTATGACGGACAAAGCGATGCTTTGGCCCTTGTGACGGCCCTGGGAGCAGCGTGTACGTGTGGGACCAAGTCTGACATGCCTGACCTTGACTTCTTTGACATTGGGATTCCAGTCTCCCATCTGCTCCATGTTGTCCACCAGCTCGCTGTACACCGCGTCCAGGGGCTGGTCCACCACCACCTCGAGTCGGAACACCTTGCCCACGTCCGGGAGCACCTTGCTCAGCACTTTGTCTCCGTTACCCTGGAGAGGGGAAGGCAGAATTAACATCACAAATATTTACAGGTGGACTGCATCAGTCTGCTGCCAAGCAGAGCACCCACCATCACTGTCTCTGTCTTCCAGCCGTCCTGGTCCCCGAGGATGCTGAGCGATTTCTGGAGAGCTTCCTCTCCTTGCTTGATGTAAGACATTTCCATCTCGCTGAAGGGCTTCTCCTCCAGCCTTGAGCCTGCACGGGATCAGACAAAAAGCGGGAGTGAGCGTAGGAACACGGCACAGTTGACTAACACATAGTAACGCCAGATAAGCTTTATCTACATCAAATAAACTTCTCCGTGCCCATGGGCTGGAGAAATAAACTCAATTCCCACTGCTGGCCTGCCTTGGCCGCTTGTTTAGCAGAAGCACAGGGGATTCCTCCAACCGCTCTCCCGAGCCCTGATCAAAAAAAACCCCCCCCGAGGGGCCAGACCCCGTCTGCCGGTCACTTACTGAGCAAGGAGCTCCTTCTGCGAACCTGGTTAATCCACGTGCTGGGTCCTGTGCTGCGGCAGGCGAGCTTGCTCAGCTCCTGGCTGATGGCGACAGCGGCTTGTCTTCTCAGACCTGAGAGCAGAGAGCGCATCACTCGCCAGCACCGGGCATTGCACTGCAAAGGGCTCGCTAGTTATGGGTTGGTTTTGGGTTTGTTTTTGTTTTTCCAGTTTAAACATATGACATAGTGAACGAGTCTCTGTTCCCACCTTCGCTGGAGTCCCTACAGGCGCAGGGAGCAGCCAACTGCCATTGCACCGCTCTGGGACAAAAGCTGTCTGAAACAAACCTGGGCTTTGCTCCAGGTCCGGCAACGCAGCATGCGGGGA